TGTTCACAAAAAAAAAAAAAAAGAAAATAAAAATCACGTTAGGCTTTGCCTGAAGTAAAGAAGCAGAGACCTTTATCTTTTCTGTCAATTTTAGGAGTGACTACCTCTCAGTCTGCTTTAAATGGAATGATATTTTGATTTCTTTTGGCATTGCTAAATTTGAAAGAATTCAGAAACCATTAGCTTTTTATTAGAAAAGGAAAGATTAAAAACACTTCTGCAAAGGTCAATTACTCCTCTTGATAACAAAAAGGAGGCAATGTTATGTGGATTTGTTTTATGAAACACATATGCTGTAAACATTTTTCATGTAAAATTACATTTGAATTGTTCTCATTTGTTCCTTCAGGTTTTTTTTTTAAATATATTTTTGTATGAGCAACTTTAAAATTCTCTCTTGAAGAATTATTAAAGTTTCAGTCTTCAGTGTTTGAACTCTAGAATAATAACTATAAGTAATATATTATAATTGATCAAAGTGGTTACTAAAAAAAAAAAGTAACATCCTCTTTTATTTGTATGGATATTTTGCCTAAGTGTATGTCTATGCTCCACTGGCATGCCTAGTGTCTGCGAAGAATAGACAAAAGCATCAGATACCCTGAAACTGGGTTTATACGAGTTATAGATGGTTGTAGCCCACCATATGGTTACCAGAAATCAAACTCAGGTCTTCTAGAAGACAATAAGTGCTCCTCACTGCTAAGTTCTCTCTCTAGTCCAAACAAGTCATACTTTCTTCTTTTGTTTGTTTGTTTGTTTTGTTTTGACTTCTAGACAGCATTTCTCTGTGTAGCCTTGGGCTGTCCTGGACGAGCTCTGTAGCCCAGGCTGGCCTCTAACTCAAAGTGATCTGCCTGCCTCTGTCTCCCCGAGTGTTGGGATTAAAGGCATGCACCACCACATTTGGCTAAGTCATACATCAGATCTTGATTATATAAATTGCCCACCAGCTTCCATTGGATACCTTGTGAAGCCCTATCTTTTATCCCACCCAGGCACCAGCTCCTCTTCCTAATGTGATGATTTGCCTCTACTTAGTGTTTGAGACAGAAATATCATTTCGAATTTCATTTCTCTTTGCTAAGCTGATAACCATAAACAAATTGTGTGGGGGAACTAATTACACAATTGGAAAAGGAATGATCTAAATAACAGAACCGTGGGAGGCACCTGAAAGTTACTCAAGCTCTAGCACTGTAGTGTTCACTCTGTGCTTGCAGTGTCTATGGATCGAGAGCTAACAGAAAGATCCCATGATTCCTACCTTCAATCATTTTCGTCCTCTCCTTAGATGTTGGAAAAATAATGAAGGGACCAATTATCAAGCCATTCTCTCAACAATATTTTATCTTCATGTAGTACATAAATATCCCAAGGTTAAATATTTTTTTCTCATTAAAAAATCCCAAGTTTCAGTTATACTAATATTTTAGAGTGATTCATTAGAACACTTTAATATATCTTCTTATAGAAGTCTGATTCTTTAATTCTTAATGTTTTATACAGCTCAGCCTCATTGTTAGCACCACAAACACTCAAGAATGGATGGTCGAGAGGTGAAAGGTCACTCAATAAATATAATTATATCCATTATTATTCACAGGAAGACAGTGGGTTAGGTTAACTAAAGACCAATATTCATTTGAAACATTATTTTATATTTTCGCATACAATCACAGTATCCACTGAACATGATATTCATGCAAATAAAATTAAAAAAAATATTAAAATGTGGAGGGGAAATGGAATCAGAATATGTTGCATGAGAAAATCTAATTTTTTAATTTTAATTTTTATATTCATTACAGTTTATTCATTTTGTATCCTAGCTGTAGCCCCTTCCCTCATTCCATCCCAATCTCACCCTTCCTCTCACATCTCCACCCATGAACCTCTCCAAATCCACTGATAGGGGAGGTCCTCCTCCCCCTTCACCTGACCCTAGCCTATCAGGTCTCATCAGGACTGGCTGCATTGTCTTCCTCTGTAGCCTGGTAAGGCTGTTCCCCTTTCAGGGGAGGTGATTAAAGAGCCAGCCATTGAGGTCATATCAAAGACAGTCCCTATTCCCCTTAGGATACCCACTTGGAGAGTGAGCTGCCATGGGCTACATCTGTGCAGGGGCTCTAGGTTATCTCCATGAATGGTCTTTGTTTGTACTATCAGTCTCAGAAAAGACCCCTGTGCCCAGATTTCTCGGTTCTGTTGCTCTCCTTGTGGAGCTCCTGTCCCCTCCAGGACTATTTATCTCCCCCTTCTTTCATTAGAATTCCTGGACTCTGCCCACATTTTGACTATGAGTCTCAGCATCTGCTTTGATACCCTGCAGGGTAGAGTCTTTCAGAGGTTCTCTGTGGTAGGGTTCTGTTCTGTTTCCTGTTCCCTCTTCTGATAACCATCTCATTTGTCTAAGTTAGGATTAATCACCTTACCCAGGGTCCTCCTTCTTGCTGAGCTTCTTTAGATGTACAGATTTTAGTATGTTTAGCCTAAAATCTATTTTCAATAAAAGGAAAATAGAAAAAAAATGTACTGTTTTGAGGTTAATTTTACTGACAATATTATCTACCAAGATTGGTATTGACATGCCAAGGTTTCACAGTATATCCTGGACTATAAGGAGAGAAAAACAAAAATACTACAGTACCAAACAAAACTTAAAGAGTGTGTTTTTAATTACTTTGTAACTAAAACACCATCAAGCAAGCTTCCTGTGTAATAATTTCCGATCTGTGTAAATGACCTGATGGGTAATCCGTTTTCCAGGAAAAGTAACTTTTGGAAAGAGGCATCATCTACGGAACAGCATAATACATATCTTTAGAGACTGGCGATGGGCTTCCTATAGTGCTTGTTATGAACAAGTGTACCCTGGATTTAGTCATCCTCTGGCATACATACAATGTTGGATTTATATTAGCTGGCTACACGAAAAAAAGCCACTATCTCTGCTGACTCAAATTACTCAGCTATCAATGTTCCCAAATTAAAATTAGGAATAAAGTTTACTTCCCAATGTGCATTTGTCTGTATGGAAGTTTACATTTGTACCATTTATTGTAATTAATTAGCTGGCATAGTGATTTACATGTTATTATCATTTGGCTTGTAATAAATCACTTGTACTTTATCCATGACCTAATAATAATAGTGTATAATATAGACTCAGTAACATAATAAATTCCCTGAAGTCAAAGTCAAGTTGTAAGGATCCTAGACTCACTTAACACATTGTAACCAATAAAGTCTATGTCAACCCCACCTTTAAAACTTTAGTGGACAAACACATGGAATCTTCATTACCAGATTACTTAATAGTTACTTAACAGTAACACATACATATATGCTATGTAACTCTATTGCCTAAATTAATTATTTTTTTCGTGTTATAATATTCTTTTTTCAAGTGTTGCCTTGTTTATTTATTTATTTCTACCTCCATATGTGCCTGCACACCAGAAGAGGGCACCAGTTCTCATTATGGATGGTTGTGAGCCACCATGTGGTTGCTGGGACTTGATCTCAGGACCTTTGAAAGAACAGCCAGTGCTCTTAACCACTGAGCTATCTCTTCAGCATTTCTTAATGGAATTTATAATTGTGCAACATAAGGCGATATTTCAGTGAAGTATTTCTCAGATGAAGTACAGTTTATAACATTTCCCTATGGCAAAACATTCTGAAAGTATAGATAGATAGATAGATAGATAGATAGATAGATAGATAGATAGATAGATAGATAGATAGAT